CCACCAGAACATAGAAATAAAGGCATTTACTCTCCAGTTTTTGAGATCCTGTCACGTGTTTTGCGGAATGAAACAGACCCCTGATTTATCTCTGAAGGGAGTTCGTGCTGGCTAGCAGTGTCTCATTTGACACCAGCATGGGACATCTTGCGCTTGTGTCATCACTTTTATATTTAGACACCAGGAATGTGGCTGTGCTTTCATGATGTAAATCTGCAACTGCTTTTTTGCCATGTACCTGACAACTGTTTTGCAATTTAATTCTTTAAAATTAAAGGTGATAATTTAAATTGATTAAAGAGCAGAGCAGAGATGGCATGTGTTCACCGATGTGCATCAGTTTAATCATACAGACATTGACAAAAGAATTCAAGTTATGAGTAATGTTAGCTATGCCATTAAGGAAAACTGTGCAGAAACTAAGGAACCCTCTATGATATCAAATCTCAACTATCACACTTTCAGTATTTCCCAGCAACTAGAAATTGGTTTCACTTGAAGCAAAAATAACAACATGAGGAGCAATACATTGAAAACAGCAACTTCTAATGCTGAACAAGGCTAAAAATAGTGTACATTTCAGCCACCTGCTATTTAAAGTCCTTCAGTACACAGCTAGCTGATCCACTTTTAACTCAATCACTAAGGAAAGGGAGAAGCATCATGTGATTGGCTGTTCCTCTGGGGGCCCTTGTAGATGGGCTTTCACCATTAGAAAAAAGAGCCTGATTCCCTCTCACTCACACAGACAATTACTGTAGCACACCCTAACAGAAAACAACACCACAGAGGCTCTGCCCCACTGTAACTACTGTGAAATAAAATTAAAAAAAAATAGGTCTTAAAATATCACCAAGGTGCTAGGATTCTCCCTCACTACAGATTTTGACCGGTGAGCTTATTACAAACAATGGTAACAAACCAAGGTCAGTAATAAATATAGTCTCCTTGGCACCAAGAAAGTTGGTGCTTTCTTAGCATTCGTTAAATAGTGATTTATTTTGACTGTATGGTCTATGACGTATTGTGGATTTGCTGGAGTAGTGTATTGTCGTTCCTATTAACCAGTGAATATGAGCACATGGAATGAATAGACTACTTTCTAAAAATATTTTTAGGGAGATAAATCCATCATTAAGTATAACAATCCTGTGGTGTACACATATTGGCTGTACACAAGGAGTCTCCTTATACAGGCCTAAACAATAACATTTTAAACATAATTTTTTAGACTTTTATCAAATATTTCTTCATCTACTGTAGATTCACCAGGTTTTTGCATTTTTTTAACAAATGAATTCAGCCTGGTTCTCTTTTGCAAACAGAAACTATTGTTTCAATTGAGAACATCTGTTGTCAGTTGAACAAGCTGTTTGTGCACCTAACATGTTTCAGAGCTGGCATTTTACTAAATTTTGGAGGCCTGCAGAGTCTGCACAGCCGTGTCTGGTAAAATAAAGTGGAAAAGACCACTCTTTCAGGCCAGCATGTCTTATTTACCTTTTTTTTTGCACATTTAATACTATATTAATCTTTTCAAACTCAATAAAGGAAAACAATCTGTCTCATAGATTTTTGAAGTCACACAACACAACTGTTTCCTGTAGGCGTAGAACACATATAAAAAGGACTGGAAAACCATTAAATAGATTTATTTTGAACTAACACATGGAATACATTTTTAATCCTTTGCTCTGGAGCATGAATCTGCTGTTTTATTCAACAGCATCGTTACCTTGTGTCCTGTTCTTGCCAAATCTCAGAAGTTAAGCAAGACCGTGCCTGGTCAGTACTGGGATGGACGACGTCCAAGGAAAACCAGGCTGCTGCTGTAAATGGTGAACTGCTACACTTCCCTCTGGGGCAGAAGTTTTTAAAACCAGAGCCAGTGTGCTGGGGGGGACACTCTGCCATAGGAGGTGCCATTCATTGGATGGCTCATTAATTAATAAGAACAACAATAATTCCTTATATATCTGGACACTCCACTCAGAGCGCTTTACTGGTAATGGGGACTCCCCTCCACCACCACCACCACATTAGCCATTCCTCTTTGTCCAACATCACTTTTGAGAGGAAAACCTGGAATGAAGTTCCACTGTATCTAAAATTTGAATTACAGTGCAACGCAGCACACATCAGCTCAGTGGGGAGGAGAACAGAGTGATGAAGCCAGTTCAGAGATGGCGACTATAAGAGGCCATGATTGGTAAAGGCCAATGGTAAATTTGGCCAGGATACCGGAGTTACGCCCCTACTCTTTTCGAGAAACACCCTGGGATTTTTAATGATCGCAGAGAGTCAGGACCTCGGTTTTATGCCTCATCCGAAGGACGGCGCCTTTTTACAGTAGAGTCTCCATCACTATATTGGGGCATTAGGACCCACATAGACCGCAGGGTGAGCGCCCCCTACGGGTCTCACTAACACCTCTTCCAGCAGCACTTAAACCAACTTCCTGACTGTGTGGTCTGTACAGATCCCATGTCGTGGTTTGGAAGAGTTGAGGTGTTGAACCCCAGTGTCCTGGCTGATCAACCTTGCACAATTGTGAAGGACTCACAAAATCCAGCCTAGTTCAAATTCCCCCTTGATTGAACTGGTGAAGTAATTTCTCCCTACTCTACCTGACCTGCTGTAGAGGTGGCTCTGACTGTGTGTCACCCAGGTAGGTGCTGCTCTTTAGAAGTCGATACGGGTCCCCTCCTGTATGGAAGGAACTTTCAATTGAAAAGTGCTACATAAATGCAATGAATGTTTCTTTTTGGACTGGATTTGATATGTCAACTGACCATTAAAAGCTTTCGTAAGCTGCGGCTTAGTCATTGTGTAACTTCAGTACTTTGGACCTCAGCTAATAAAACAGTACAAACCTACCACATAGCAGACACACAGGGAAATATACCTCAGTTTTCTTTGTTTGCTTAATTAATGCTTAATGCTTAACTTTTACATGAACTGAGATTGGCTGATAATTTTTTTTTAGCTGATAAGAGATAGATGAACATTTTCCTGTGTCTCCAGCCACGTTCTCTTCAATCAGCTACTCTCACCCAGCTCTGACAGACAAAGCAGCTGTGCACTCAGTGTCACCTTTGCTTCACCAGTACCAGCTCAGTATCATCCATTCCTTTAATTGAGGATTAAGGGACATTCACAAATCCAAATTAAGACTCTCCAACCTTTGGCAGGCTTAACTGTGGTACTGATTGATCTCTGATCTCTGTGAGGTTAAGATAAGCACGCAAAACACCAGACTGTTTCCAAATAGTCTAAAAGCTATGGTCTGTATATGTACTGTAGATTTTAGAGAAAAAAAAATAATATTCAGTTCTGTGCAGCCAGCCACAAAAGAGTTTAAAAATAAATCAAATTAAATGCGTAATATTCATTAAAAGACACAGATTATATGATGGAAAAATGCCATAATGGTTTTCTCAGTATTTTAACCCACAAAATACAAATTCAAGCAAGAAAGCAAGGGATTCTTGCACAGTAAAATAATGATACACTGTGACAGACGCACATGAGCTACAATACTGTACCACACCAGTGTAAGAAGACTTTACATTAACTTATAAAGAACCTGATCAGCATCACTGGTTGCTGGAGCTAACACAAGAGAGGATTTTATTTGTGTTAATGCTTTTGTTGTTCTCATGTTTAAGGTTTTCAATTATGTGTGGCCCCAGGTTCTCAGAAAAAAAGCCAATCAAAAAGCAGGCTGTCATCCGTTAACTGCCCAGCTAATCATTTAGCCCAAAATACTGTGTTTTCCCCTTGTCTTTGAACAATAAAAAATGAGGCTAGTTTCATATCACAGAGCAGGCAACCCTTGAAACAGAGAAAGACAGTAACAGTCACAGAAGCACCACAAAAAAACATGTTTTTGTAAGTTATACAAAAATCAAACATTTCAACATCAATGGCAAACATTGGCATACAATACTACACCTCTCAAAAACCCTTTCTCATTTATTCCACAAATAACTTGAAATGGTCTCTTTTTCTTTGAGGAACAGTAAACAAAGCAACCAGGCCTAACAACCACAGATAAGAAACCCATGACTTGAACTGAATTTAAAATATAGCAGTGAAGGACATATACAGAAAGAAGAAACTGTGCTAAACAACTCCTTAGAAGAATAAAAACAAAACTTTAAACTAAGGAAAATTTCTGCCAATGACATGACCCTAAAAAAGAATACATGCTCAACATTCAATAAAGTGGCATAAGTTCTGTCGCACTGGACATAATAGGAATCTCTCGGTTGATTAATTGTTCAACATTTAAATAAAATTGCAAGTCCAACCAGAGTCCCCCTTACAGATTGAGCATCACAGTGAATCTCCCTGCGCAACACAGCTGTGCTCGAGAGTTGAGGCATCGAACCACACACCGCGTAACCCAGTGGTTCCCTATGTTGGAACAACCACTCACCCGCCTGTAGACATCCTCGCTGCTGTCCTCATACTTCTGCTGAATCCGCTCCTCCAGAAAGTAGATGCGGAGCTTGAGGCTGAAGTTCTCCTTCTTTAGGTCATTGAGGTGCTGCGATAGAGTACGGTAACCGTTAGACATGACAGGTGTTTCCGGGGGGCATCTTGAAGCCCCTCAGTCCAGCAGCATAGCAGCACAGACTGATTAAACAGAAACAAGAAGCTCCCTAAACCTACAGCAACAATTACAGCAACACACAAAACTAAAAAATGACACACATGGCGCTGGGGGGCTGTTGGGCCCTCCTCTCAGGACTCAGCTCTCATTATCTCCATGTTCTGCTTTGGGACAGAGGAGAGCCAGCGTTTCTTTTTTTACTTTGGGGAGGTATCTGAGGAATCCCTGGCAGGCAGACAGAGAGCCTACAGGATCACAGGCACAAGTGGCATGTAAGATGATCTGGCTCTTAGGCCAGGACCAAGCGAGAGAGAGAGAGAGAGAGAGAGACAGGCTTGTGCATTAAAAGCCACTGGCCGTTTCAGGAGGCAACTGCATGGGAGTCTCTCTCCCTCTCTCTTTGCTAATCCTGCAGGGGCAAGGGTGCACAGCTGCTTGTAAACAGGCCAGGACACACTATTAAGGTGTAACGGGAGAGTGATCTCTAAGTGGCCTTCCTCTCTTGAGTCTGACCTTGCTGGGCAGCAGAGACGAGCAGAGCTGGGTGGAAAGAGCTGGCTCTGTAAGATCAGATCACAGCTGAGCAGAGCTGAGGGACAGCTGGGAATGGAAAAGCCCGACTTCGGTAACAGCCCTTTCCTCCAGGTGTTTTTAATGACCATACCTTTGCAGAATACCCAGAAATATTCTTCCAGACAAACGTAACACAAGCAGGAAATATAGAAACCCCAGCTCGGCACAGCACACACAATGAGTCCTTGCAGCACATCTATTTAAAGAGATCTCATAATCTTCAAACCACTAAGTCCCGTGAAAGATCAAAATACAGACTACAGAATACACTGTAAACAGTTGCAGGCTTACAAACAAAATCAGAAGGAGGCACACAGTAACCTATATCGATATCACATCATCTTCCAGCACTAAGAGTTCCTGCCTTTGGCAGCACAAAATAAGAACAATTAAGAACATAAAAACAATTTTATCACGGAGGGGGACAGAAATAGCCAAGTCATTTATAAATATCCCTCTATACATCTATGTTAAACGTATGCTACATTATAGCTAGATTAGTTTATTATTGTCAGAATAAACAAGAATACAACTACAGCTCTTATAAGACATCCAAAAAAGCAGCCCTAATTTGCATTTAAGACAATCATTCTCATTCCTGTTCCGGAAGAACCATAATCCTGTAGATTTTATAAGAAGATAAGGATCATAGGTCTGTGGCTTCCAAAAAACATTTTCATAGCAGATGTCAAAATCACTTTGTATTGTGAAATTCATGGATTCAAGACAATGATGAGTAGTGAAGGTGACATAACTCTAGTTTTATTGTAACACATCAGGGATGGTGTCAGGTTCCAAATCAATTTGAGAAAGTGAAATGTACGCTGTAGATAATCTAATTATATCGGTTTCATTGATGGCAATCCTCTGTTAATGAAAAGGAATTTGTAATCATTTTGTCTGATTCCATTGAGCCTCTACACTGTATAAATAGGCTTACAAACTCACGCGAAATAATTTATAATACCCCATTTATTATTAAATTTTACACAATAAAAACTGAAATTCTTCTGCAAAGTGAAGAAAAATTAAATGCACCACTGTATTACTTGATCTTTGTATTCTAGATTCTGTTACAAATCCTTTTAAACTTAAACTGGAGTAAAGCCTCATTTACGTACAGAATTAAAATTGCAAAAACCATTACAAAGGGAATGACCCCAGGGTGTGAAGAAGGACAACAGGAACGCTGTCATGGGGTGAGGGCTCCATGTGGTCATTGTCACTCGTGGCCACCTATCAAGTAATTTTTAATCCAGGAAGAGAGTTCTAGAATACTTCATTATTCCCAGGAATGTTTCCATTCTGCAGTTCTTCTAACAAGAAAAACACATTTTTTTACCAAGGAGACCACTTCTTGAAATAAAGGAAACACTTTATAACAAAATGAATAATTCTCTGCCCCATTTGTTCTCCCTCAATTCAAGCACCGCTTTCATAACTGTTACCAGTAGCTACGTTTTACCATCCCAATTTTACAGATAAACTGGGGAACTGTACAAGAGTTTTCTCCATCTCTCATTTGAACCCTAAGAACAAAGCCTGGAAGTGAGGAACTACAAGTATTTTCAGTGTGTAACTCCAGAGGCTAAATAAAGGAACAAAAATACAAAAAATGACAAAGCAAAACTTTTAACTTTTGGGCTTTGGTAGAGGAATTATTTCAATCTGAGGGGGGCGCTGTGACTCCACACAAAAGAGCTGCTTAACTCCAACACGTTCTGGAAATAAAAATTATGAAAATAAGACATGTTGGAACACTGTACAGGGGCTATTTTTAGGTAGGCGGTCTTGATTTACTGTATATCCCATCCCAAGGCATGAAGTTCCAGATTGAAACTTCTCATGGAACTATGAAAACACCCTCTGACTCATTGCTGGTTCACAAGCATGTGCTGGTACATTAAGCTGTTGTGAAATGCAATGCTGCTTATTTGCTGCTCATTATTTGTCAGAATTAAGGCAGATGTTTACATGATTTATTTCTGAAGGAGGATAACAAAATCTTTAAAGAGCACATTTATACAGTTCTCCCTGACCATACATGTTTGATCTTTATGTTAACTTCAAGACCTTTATAAGCATGTTTTCTTTAAAATCCATGTACTGTACTGAACATTTTATCTGTGCAAATGTGTCTGGAATTCTTTAATAAATATTTATATTGTTTTTTTAAGTAGGAGGAACAAACAAAAACAACAATTGACACAAAAATAAATAGAAGCAGGAAAAAAGGGGAAAGGGGTAAACTAAACAGGTTTTGAAGTTACAAAAAAACAATCTGACCACGTGTCACTGTTTCTGTCACTCTCAAAATGTAACTTCAGAACAATTTTTGTGTATGAATGGATGTCTGTTTTTTTTAAAACAGCTGGCAGACTAAAGTCTAAAACTGAAGTTCCTTGAAATGCACTTTCCTACCTCCATCACTATGAAGTCTGCCCACGTCATTAATGAAGCAGCAGAAGACACACTTCTCCTTAGTTCTCTACTGATTAAAAAACGTAGATACAATAAGCCAAGTATTTTATACCCTCTCATATACTTTAATCCACCAGCAGTGACCTATAAAACCTCCAATATTAAAGAATTGACAAAGTAGCTTAAAATGAGTCTCATGCTGTTTAAATGCACAATAACAAACAAGAATGCCGTTCTTTGCCGGGAAGAGCTGTTTGTGTAGTAATGCAATGTGTCTTCTGCATCGCTGGCCTTTTGATTGTCCCAATGGTGTGATGTCACTGTCCAAAGCCAAGCAGTCAGCTTAGAATGATGTGGATTTAGACATAAAAAAAGATTTCCAAAATATATCCAAAAGATATGAACACAGGTGGGCAAAATGGTAATGCAATCCATGAATGAAAGACACAAAAACTCCCGACTGAAGTGTTTGGAACACTGACCTTCTGGATTCAATCAAAAGAGAACTGCTACAGAAAAATTTAAAAGGCCTTGATTAAATAAATACGAGAACTTGGAATGTTTTTGTCTCTCATTTCCGCCTGGTATATACTTTCTCTTGGGCGGCTATCTATGTGAACTTCTAAGCAAAGATGGCTCAGATTTCCCTGTCAAAGGCTATAGCTGTTGATTTTAGGACAAAACGCAAAACCTGGGTAATGTCACAATTTCAATCTGCGACTCTGCTCCACAGGCAAGTCATGGGAAGCACACAAGCTAGTGTGTGCCTCACAACACAGCGCAGAGAGCAAGGCCAACAAACAGCGTTTCGGCAGCCACAGCAACCTCATTCTGCTCCAGAAACAAACCACACACCGTGTGTCACCCGTGACAATGCTGTGTTCAATCAAAAACTCAATAAACATTGCTGTAAGCACCGTTAAATCATTAGACTCCCGTTACAACTTGTTTAAAAAAGACATTTTGACTTGATCTGGAATTCAGGATCCCAAATCAACCCATTTTCTTTTCAGTCAGTGTATTCAAAAGGTTTCATTGTATTATTGAGGTTTTCATACATACTATTGAGGTTTTCATACATATTATGAATGTACGTTACTACACGTTTTAGACATTTGGAAATGACTACTTAGAATTCAGAATCCCCACCTGATCTGGAAGACCCCATTGTATGTTTTTCACATAAGTTGAAACTATGAACCCCGCAACCACGCACTGGGGAGACTGAGGAAATGGAAGCAGACTCCTCTGACCTGGCCATAATCGAGCTACTCATACTTGTCAGCAGCGACACAGACCTGTACCGGAAGCTCAGATATGATTATAGAGGCACATGCTTCACTGAATGCACAGCACTTCTTCAAGTGCCTAGGAGGGTACAGGGATGACTTTGCCAGCCTATAATGCCCTAGTTTACTATATACTGTATTTAAAAATACAATGAAATGTTCATTAAAGCATGGACCACTAAGCTTAAGAACAGCTTCTACACTACAGCAGGGCACACCTTTACAGCTGACCGTGCAATGTCTCAGAATTCAACACACCTCGGCACTCTGCACTTTTGACTTGGCTACCATGTACAGGTATGTATTTATTGTTCTGTGTGTTGATTCTCTGTACATACCATCACTATTTATTATTTACTGATTGTAAAGTACTGTCTACGTTGTGCTATGTTATCTGTTGTCTGTAGTACTGTGCATGTCCCGAGAGAAGGGCACAAATAAGAATCCCATTGTACAGGTATGTATGGCAAATAAATTCCTTTATCTACCTCTATCCTCCTCATGTAACTCAGTGGTGTTCTACGCCACTGCTTGGGGTCACCCATAGCTAGTCACATTACCTAGGCTCAAACCCCTGATCACTGATCTGAGTTCATTCACTCAAGAGACTTTCCTGGTTGAACCACTCAAAATTAACCAAACATGTACAATTAACATCCGTTATATTACTTTTGTACAAGATGCTGAATTCCTAATCTGAAGATTTTAAATAGTTCTGCAAAATGGACTTTACAATAAAGAGGCACAATATTTTTTCCAAAATGTACACACAATCAAAGTATTTTTTGTCAATTTTAAATCTCTAATACTTTTCTTTTTTCTGTACCTTTTTATTTGAACTGCCCAATTCTTCAATCAACATCAGCTCTGCTAAATCCCAGGCAAGACAACATGGCA